CCAAATGGTGGAGGGTATTAAAAGTTCGGCCCGGCCGAACTACAGCTTTTTTACTTGTTTTTTTCTTGGCAGACTTCTTGTCTGGTAATAGACCCAGTTTTATAATAAACTTCTCAAAATCTGGAAAATATTTTGAGGAAATGTTCGGTAGGCTATAGATGGACTTATATATGGGAATCTTTTTATAAAATTCCTGATCTTCTACAATAAATTTTGGAATTTTTAGAGGACCAAGCTCTCATGGATCTTATTAGAGAAAAATTTTACGAAATATCTGGATATTTTTATAGAATTGTTTTGCATTACGACTTATCATAGCAATAATCGGAAAATAGGTGGATATTTTTTGACAGGCTATAGATAGGCTTTTTAATAGGAATTTTTCCACAAAATCGAGGACTTTTGTCTAAAAATTTAGAAAAAGAGAATTTTTGAAATCAATTTTTATCAAGCAATCTTATTTTAGATCAATTCTCTTATGACAATCGAGTATCCTTTTTTAAAAGAAATTATTCTCCTATTAATCTCTGATTCCCTTCTATTTACAGTCGATCAAATTGATGCAGTTAAACCTGTCCTAAAATCTGTTGTCAACGATGAGCCGCAATCCAAGGTGGCCTAATCTTGAAGATGGAGTAAAATCATCGGATATTTTAAGTACAACAACACTATGGGCCAACAAAATACAATTTTCACAAAAAAGAAGAAAACTCACCACCATCAATGAACTAAAAATAAGTTTTATAATAGTTAAACAACAAAGCACAACAATAATTATTGTAAGATATCCTTAGAAACAACAAAAACAACAATCAATCATATTTTCATGCATAGACACACATACATATTTATCATCAACATCATAAATTTCATTAAAAAAAAAAACAAACAAAAACAAGGAAAACGTAAAATCAAAATAAAAATGCAAAGCGAAAAACAGCACAACAGAATAAAGAAATAAAAAATAATAAAAAAAAAAGGTTTTTATTAAATTTTATTTTCAGAGGGAAATTTCCCAGACCATCTTCAAGAGTTAATCTTCAATGGTGTTCTAAAACAATTGTAGTTGTACAATGAATGGGGGGTATTCATGAGATTCAAAAATACTTCAATCCCCCTGTGTTTCTGAAGTATCATACGTTCCTGCCCAGTTGCAAAAAAAGCATCTGCTCCCAATCTTCCCCCCAGCTGCTATTTTCTCATTGATATGCCCGCAACGTCTGATCTTGCTGTTGCCAAAAAAAATATGGGCGTTTAACATTTTGCAGATATCGCATTATGCCGATGTTAATAAATTACCTTAATAACAAATAAATCTATTGTATGGCACCATAACACGCTACTCGGATATGAATGTATGATTTGTTTGCACTCAAAACAATTTCGGTTTTAGCAGATGAAAAAAATGTGTAAAACCAAAAAAAGAGTAAATATTTCCAAATAAGAAAAAAGTAAACAATCCAGCGGAACAATAAACGTACACACAACAGATAGCGCTGGTAGTGCACAAATTTAAATGACACTGTGCGCATGCGTGACGCGTTACATTAACTGATTTAATGTTAAACCGTTATAGCTGCCAAAGAGTCGAAGAGATTGAGAGAGAGAGAAAGATAGAGCGCGAGAGATGGCAGAAAATTTGGAGAAATCAGTGTTGACAACTTGGTGGATTGTATGCAATAGGAAAATGAGATAAAGCTGTAATCTATAAAATCAGTAAATCTTACTCAATTCTGTCACTTGTCATTTTCAACCCAGTAAACAAACTATCTTCTGCACAAAAGTTGAGAAAATCATCTAAGTTCGGTCACGTCGGTGTTTTAATACCTTCCACCATTTGGAAGAAAATTTTAAAATGCAAAAAAATCCCATTGAATATTTCGGCTCTAATTTAAAAAATTCCGAATATCAGGAGTTAAATTTACGTAGCCCCATATAAACGAAAACCTGACCTTTACAGCCAATTATCTGCCAGAGAAGGTGGTGCCTCCAAACACTAAATTTAAGATAATTATGTTGTAATAATAATGATAAAATTATCAAAATACCGAATATTGGGATATACCACTTTATGAGGTCTCCGGAATAAACGCCCAATAGATGTATTGGTTAGCTGCGAATCAAATAAGCAGTCGCGGGCAGTCAACGGGTTTGGTGTCAGGATCTCTATGCAAATGTGATCGGTTGTCAATGATCTCCAGACCGACGAGGCGAACATTTGTCTCCCCTAAACTGTGGGGTTTGAGGAATTTGCCGATCGGTATGGTTCCTTTAAACAATTAACCAAGATTTTTTAAGTATGGGAAAATGTAAAAAATTGATTAATTTTACGGCACAGGGCCTAAATTACTCAGTGTCTGTGGCAAGTGTGGGTGTGCTCACAAGCCATGTGCCTCCGATATCCCGCAATTGCGTTGAAACCACAGGCACCTGTTACAAGTGCAAGTAATATCCGACAAACTGACGGTCGCAATATTCAAATGGCTAACGCTTCCCAAATTAGGGCCGAAATTAAGGAAGAGGATGACAACAGTACACCAGTGGCATCATAGGATGTGTATATCCACACAGTGAGAGAATCCTCGACCATGTGGATGAGATCATATCGAGTGGTTCCAGTCTAACGAACTTTCCCGACTACCTAATGAACAATATCACTCACACCGATGGTATGAGACCATAAATTCAGGCAAGTCAACGAAGGATGACCTGAGTCAGTTGACGTCAAGGAAGTAAGAGATGCAAAATTCTATAAAAAAATAATTTTGTATCTCCCAAATTCGTGGATAAGGATCCGAGTGCACATTCCGAAAAGAAAATGTCATATATCAAAACTAAGTGTTGGAAAGAAGAAAGTTCGAAAGAACCCTTGGTGGATTCTCCTTCCAGAAAATACGGGTACTCGAACCACTGCTCAGGGAGCTAGGTTTTTGCTGAGCACGAAATCGGATCCCAAACCAAAGGCAAAGCCGGAACCTCATCAGAGTAAACCGGGATTGGTGTTGCCAAATAGTAGAAAGGTTGCATCTAATTCAGCACCAAATGTGAAGCCTAAGGGTAAGCTACCGGTAGCTGAACAGAGCAGAATATCTCCACGATCATCATCTTGGAGAACTCCCTCCCTTCCAAGGCTGTAAAAAGAGTTTCTCTTAGACAAGGTGGCAAGGCAAAGCCGAGTAGCGTAAAAGTCAGGGCTTTCTCAGGAAATTGCATTTATAAACCCGAGAGGACGGCTCCAATGACATCCAAAGACGACCACCAACTAGCAATTATTGACAGAGCTGACTCGGAAGGGAAAACTAGTGATAGCCATTGGTTGTCATTCGAAGAAAGTGAAGAGGAGGCAATTGTTTCGCACACAGGAAACCATGAAGTTCGGCAGTGCCTTTGTATACGAGGGAATCAAAGTCATTAACTGCCTAAAAAAGAAATCTTACGATTTCCTTGCACGAGCGGACTTTGGAAAGGAGCAAAACTGTTTCACATCCAGAAGTGCAGGAGTAACCCATCTGATAATATTTGACCTGCAAAATCCAGATCTCCGCACATAGAGAATTGAGCACCTGTCATTAGAGTGGCAGTGGAAAGGTCAATTTCGGATTAGGATAGGTTCGACTTAGTAAGGGGGCGAAGGCGGCAAGTGCTGCACATAGAGCAGATAAACTTACATTACTGAAAAGCCGGAGCGGCTGTACTCCTCCTATCCCCATCTACAACATTATTCTAGTTCAGGAACCCTATATTTCCAATAACAAGAATTCTGACCTGGGGAATGTAAATTATACTGTTTTTGCTTCACCCAGAGGTGATGAGATAAGTACCTGTGTAGTAGGAAGAAAGGAATTTCCCAACTTTAATAATGGCGATATGAAGAGGTCAATGACCACTCTCTCTAACAACTATGGACAATTTCTTAAAAAAGATCTAAGAGGTATCTGATGAATGCTCCTTCTCGGACGATAAGAAGATATATTTCCAAATGGGATTATTTAGAAGTCCAACAGGAATCGAAAACCTTACGTTATCCCGATTACAATCACCCTTAAAAGCTACAATCGAAACTTGTCCGCGCACTTTCCCCAGGAAAAGATCGAGGGTAAAGTAAAGATATCAACAAGCCAACAAGTTAGACGTGCCAAGAAGAATTCATGGGGGAATTTCTGAAAAAAAAATCCGAATATTGGGAGGTATAGTTACATGGGACTATACGAAAGGATGAATCAGTACCCAGAACCATTACGAACTCCAAATACCAAATTTGAAATCATTTCGGTGAAAACTGACAAAAATCATCAAAATACCAAATAAAAAATCCGAATATTGGGAGGTATAGTTACATGGGACTATACGAAAGGATGAATCAGTACCCAGAACCATTACGAACTCCAAATACCAAATTTGAAATCATTTCGGTGAAAACTGACAAAAATCATCAAAATACCAAATATCTAGAGGTAAGGTTATATGGTGTCTATACCAAAACTAGGACCTACATATCTGCACAGCACTCAGCAAAGATGTTTACTTCATACTGGGAACGCAGTCAATCAGTTTACAGCAAATTCGGTTTGAAATTGTGCCTAAAACACCTGTACAGTTGCATGAGGCCTAGCCTTTTTAAAGTTCTGAAGACCTTAAGCACATCTAAGTAAAATTGTCTTAACCTATCTCCTTTCCTATTTCCTTTCCTAAAGTAATTTCCACAGACAGACGGACATCGGTAAATTGATATAGAATTTTATGCTGATCAAGAATATATATGACATAAATATACCCTCCATACTATGGTAGATGGCATAACACAACAAAGTAGGGTACTAGTCGGCAGTCTAAAAATTTACACATCTTCAAATCCAAGCAAACCTCTATTTTTAGGGGATATTGAAAAAATTTCGCGTTTTTAAATGTTTGAAAAAGATATCAACACTTTTTTGTGCACGCCAATGTCGAGCATAATGCAATCAGCAGAGAGTACATCAAACTTTACACTGGCCACAGAAGACACAAACCAATTGACCGACAAAGACATGCCAAAGATATGTTTGGCCCTCGCCAGCCAGTGCTGATCGGCCATGCAAGTCACACTCGCCGCCAAAGTCAACACTCAATGCGAGCACAGAAATTTAAAGTTGGGCAATCAGTGACGCAGTGGCAGTGGACAAGTGAAGTGATAGCTGGTTTGAGTAACAAAAAATTAAATTCAGCGAAAAAGAAAACAAAAGAAGAAGTGATTTGAAAATAAATTTAAACTTTAAGACGAATGGAAAAAAGGGAATTTTGGAAACATTTGAAAATGAAAAATCCTTTAATTACCCTCATCTTTATGGGATGTCTTCTTATGGATATCTCCCAAAGTGCAGTGATCGTAAAAAATCCCAAACTAAATGATATCAGCAAAGGTGAAGAGGGTTTCCTGGAACTGCGCCCCAATGGCAATTTAATTTTGCGCAGCACATTGGAAAACTCTCCGAACACGCTACAGCAGGCACTACTCTTCCAGAGTATTTTGAATGCAATTCGTGCAGTACCTGGCAATACTCTCAACGAGTTGAATGTCAAGATTTATGGCGAAGGGGTTGAACATAAATTTCCACCATTTCTGGAGCGGGTCATTCAACGTATACAGACGTATTTTTCCGTTTACAAATATACCGATACCACCGAACCCATGCGGGATAAATATAAACCCCTAAATGATTCGCATTATGAAGAAATCGATGTGACACTGAGTAGTGACAATGTTGAGTTGGTTAAAAACAAAACCGGCAAACCATTGGCGGAGACAACCGCCATGACATCGGCAACAGCAGCAGTAGCAACAACAACGACAGTAGGAGCAACAGCTGCAGTAACTACAATGGCAAGTGCAGCAACAACCTCGACCATCAGCAATGATAGGCTGACCACAACACCATTGCCGGATCAATCCATCGTTGACGATGAAGAAAATGAATTTATCGAAATTAAAAAACTCAAAGAGTCCAAAAAGAAAATCATAAAAGAAAATCCAATTTAACGTGACTTTTACTTTTCCCATCGTTTTCTGTGGTTTCTTTTAAGAGTTTTTTTTTCTGTTTGATTTTTGTTGATTGATATTTTGTATTTAAGTGATATTTATTTTTTTTGTTTTTATCAAATATACTCTGTATGTGTGTATGTACCACGCCATGAGTTATGACCGCTAATAAGTAAATAAAAACTGAGATTATAACATGTATTTGTATTAACGTTTATTAAACACAGCGATGGACAACTTTGGGCCCCTTGAAAATTTTTTGTTGACAATGACAACATTGAGACCTTGAACTTGTGCAAATTTGGTTATCCATTATAGAGAAAGTGACATAAGGTTCCACGTTGAGGGGGTTGTGATAGTTCAGTATAGAGCTACTGCAGAGAAAAGTTTTGAAAGCGAATTTCTTGACAAAAATTGTTTTTGTATATTTTTTGACTATTTCCTTTTTAACTGAAAATTTAAAGCAAACATAAACACTTTCCAAAATTATAGGAAAACGGAAAATGTTATGAATGTAGAGCTAAACAAGCAAAGAAAAACATTAACAAATACCCTCCACCATTAGATAAAAACAAGTAAAAAAGCTGTAAGTTTCGCCGGGCCGAACTTTGAATACCCTTCACCACTGGGAACGAATTAGGCAATTCTCAAAAAAAAAAAAACAAATAATAATAAATAAATAAAATCCGTTAAAAATTCTGTTAAAATCTTAGAAATACCGAATGTAGCTGTTATATTAGGGTCAATACGACGACATATACCTGCATAGGTAACTATTGTCATAAGCCATTAGAATATTCAAATGCGAAACTTAAAAAAAATCGGTGAATAATGTAGCTAAAGTCATCAAAATGCCGAATATCGGGATGTACCGTTATATGGGGGATTTACGAAGACGTGTACCGGCACAGACAATTTTTTGTCTTAGGCTGTAGTATTCATTGCGAACTTCAAATACCAAATTCGAAACAATTTCGGTGAATAATGTGTATAAAATCATCAAAATACCGAATATCGAAAGGTACCGTTATATGGGGGTTATACGAAGACGTGGACCTGCACAGACAATCTCCTGTCATAGGCTGTAGCGTCCATTACGAACATCAAATTTCAAATTTGAAAGAATTCTGATGAATATTGTCGCTAAAATCATCAAAACACCGATTATCGTGAGGTACAGTTATATGGGGGCTATACCAAAACGTGGACCTACATGGCCCGTTTTCAATACCAAAAGTCCTGCAGACATAATATACATTTCAGTAAAATTTTATCAACCTAATTCAATTCGTTTGGAAGCTAGAGTGATTTCCACAGACGGAGAGACGGACGGATATCGCAAAATCGATATAGAATTTTATGCTGATCAAGAATATATATGCTTTGTGGGGTCCACAAAGTATATTTCGATGTGTTACCATACTATGGTGGAGGATATAAAAATGTCAATAAAAGTATCTGGATTCTGCATTTAATTTGCAAATACGAGTGAGATCGATTGAAGTTTTAAATACTAAATTCAAAACACCGTGGAAAAATATAGCTATGATCATAAAAACACCGAATATTATTGGGTATCTTTATATAAATATCTTGGAGAAATATGGACCATATTTTGATGCCAGCTGTATTATGAACTAAAAAACCGAATTTTGAAAAAATCGAATAGGAATTGTGGCAGAAATTGTAAAAATAGCGAATTCCGTTATATGGGGACTATAGGAAAACAAGGACTCATATAGAAAATGGTCTGCAACAAGAGGTAAAAACCATTACAAACTATAAATACCGAAAAAAATGTGGCTCAAGATACCAAACATCGGAAGGTACCGTTATATGGTCGCTATAGAAAAACGAAAATAGATCTACATCTGCTACAAAGTTTCCGGGTGTTTCAAACGAAATGGAATTTAATTAATAATTTGAAGCATTTTGAAAGCTTACGAGAGGCAACCAAAAACTAGCCGGAGAGTTCTGCACATTTTTACATTTTGTAATTATTCGAGTTAAGTTTCCTTTCCAGAGGGTAGTGTCTTCCGTCGAATCATTAAAGGTGTCTTTTTGGTCCTTTTCATCGAAATTACGGTTTTAGACCCTAGGTCTCTTTGGACCAAAACCGTTTCAAAACATTTGGACTCGATCCAGCGATGTCCGTCCGTCCGTCTGTCTGGCTGGTGCGAACGATAATTCTCGAAGGGAGTAAACGATTTGCTCCAAACTTGGTACATCGTAATATTATTATGAAACGTAGGTCGAGTACCAAGATGAGAAATATCGGTTCACTTCTTTTGGTACCTCCCCACATAATATTGAAATTTTCAAGAAAAAAAAATATTTTACTCCACAAAACGAGAAAGGATAAACCGATTTTGCTCCAACTTTGTAAATCCTAATATTTGCATCAGTGCTACGTCAGGTGCGGAAATGGACAGTATCGTTCCACTCCATCAAAGAGTTAAAACACCATCAAAGAGTTAAAACTTTGAATATGTATAATTTTTATAAAATGTGATGTAAGAGTCCGGCTGTCTTCAAATTACACACATCAGAACTCCTTCTGTACCTCCTCACAAAGGGTCAAAATTTTGAATACCCATGAGGCTCATAAAACGGGAAATAAACTGGAGATCGAACCATTTCTTCCTGTACCTCCCCCACAAACGGTTCAAAGTATTGAATAACAAAAACGTTTATAAAATCCGAAATAAGCATCAGGTTCTCCTTATATTTAACACATTCTATTATTTCTACTAACACAAGATCTGTTGTGAAGATGGAATAAATCGGTCCTCTCCTTCTGGTACTTCCACCACAAAGGGTCAAAATTTTGAATATCCATGGAGCTCATAAAACGCGAAATTAACATCCGATTTCATTCAGACTTGGCACTTTTCAATATTGTCATCAACACAAGATATGTTATAAAGATGGTAGATGGTTTCTTCTGGTTCCTCCCCCAAATAGAGCTCAAGCCTAATAAGCATTCAACTCTCTTTAAATTACACACATACAAACATTTTTGCTAACAAAAGATCTGTTGTGAAGATTATATATACCTGCAGACTCCTTCTGGTACCTCACCCACAAATGGTCGCAATTTTCAATATTTTATGTGTCATAACTTACGGAACAAGTCAGCGATTCTTTTAATATTTCTCTCAAGCAGAAACATGGGATGAATATGGATTTTATGATGAAGTTACACATACAGGGTGAGATAAAAAAACTGCAACAAAGTCAAACGCCATATTTTTTTCTTTTTTTTAATTTTATTGAATCAAAGCAAAAAGTGTCGGAAACAGCATCAGATTTTAGAATGAGTTTAGATTTGTTCAAATTGGTCAACATTTTAATTATGGCCTTCAAACGGCCAATGAAACCGTCACACGCTGCCCGAATGTTGCTCTGCTGTACTTTGGCCCATTCCCGGCGAAGCGCTTTGCTTGAGGTGTATTGGTATTTTTAAAGCCAACCTTGCTTTCCAAAATACTCCAGACACAATAGTCCAACGGATTGGTATCCGGAGATTTTGGTGGCCATTGTGCGCTGGAAATGAAGCGAGGAACCTTATTTTGTAACCATTCTTGGGTGGCGCGTGCTGAATGCGATGGTGCTGAGTCCTGTTGGAATGTCCAAGGTCTGCGGCCAAAATGTTTGCGTGTCCAAGGCTTTAATACAACCTCCAGAATATTTTCGGGATAATATTCGGCATTTCGGGATAATATTCGGATGCCACGATCGATTAATACGAGCGGAGAGCGATCATCGGCTGTTATGGCGGCGCACACCATCACCATGGCCGGTGCTTGAGTTCTGGTGGCCAACCGAAAGTGCACATTTTCAGCTAACCTCTTTGGCAAGTAAACACGATCATTTTGTTTGTTCACAAACTGCTGGACAACGAATGTTTTCTCATCGGAGACGGAGAAAACCAAATTCGGCAGTTCACCAGTTTCGGCCAAGCAAAGCAACTCTGTAGCTCTTCTGACTCTATTTTCTTTCTGTTGCGTTGTAAGTTCTTGCACTTTTTGGAAATTCAATGGCTTTACCCCGAGCTCATTTTTCCATATTTGCCGAATGGAATATTGCTATATGTTCAGCTCATTTTTCGGCCACTGCGACTCGGGTTTCGATCAAGTCGCTTTTTACTTTTCGAACCATTTCTGCTGATGTTACAGTTTTTTCCGGCCACTTCCTTGACGTCGGGCTACGCTATCAGTACCACAATAACGAGCGATGGTACGGGACACAAAAGATTTATTCCCATTTAAATGCTGGAGTGCTCTAACGATAGCCACTTGTGGTTTTCCAGCCAAGTATAAAGAAATCACACTCTCGCGCTTGAATTCCATCACGAATAACTTCTTTTTCTGGAAAATTCCCACCAAAATGCTTCTATACGCTTGTAAACAATATAATGAGCTGTTACTGGAATAATTTTAACAGCTGTTGGACGAGTGGCATAGAAATGACAGCAGTCTCAAGTTGGTTGCAGTTTTTTCATCTCACTCTGAATAGTAAAACTTTATGAAAAATAAATTTGTAAAATATTTTGACAGGCTACGACTATTATTAAAGGAAGTTTTAAAAGACCTCTTTGGTGACCTGCTTGAGGGTCAACATTTTCGACCAAAGTAATTCTCGTATCGTCAGCTGCAATATTGCCGAAGACACTAAACACCTAAAATGCAAATATTCCAAAATTTAAAGAAATATAGAAGAGTGGCGAAATTCTCTCCTCCATTTGGGTTACGTTCCGATGAAGCTCTGAAAACGCCAATACACGTGTCTTCTATTTTGAGCTCCTCTTTCTGCTGGGTTTCCCCGTATTTATACCCTACACCACAAGGTGGTCAGGGTATTATGTCTTTGTGCATTTGTTTGTAACAGGCAGAAGGAAACGATGATCTGCATAGAATCACATTCTGAGTCGATTTATGCATGTCCGTCCGTTCGTCTGTCCATGTATTTTTGTAAACAAAGTACAGGTCGCATTTATTGCCCGATCCAACGATATTCAGGGAAATATATCAAATACAGCTCAGAAATATCTTTGCCAATTTTTATCGAGATTGGTTCAGATTTGGAATAGCTCCATATATATCTTTATCCGATTTCAAATTAATTGTGCACCAAATGGGCAATACAATTCCGAATTTAAAAGATACAAATGCTTCGGCATATTTAGTCCTTTGAACTTTAAA